GTTACGTGTACGTATGATGCCGCCTCAACCCACTTGGTGAAATAGTCGATTGCTACCAATATGAAGCGATGGCCGTTAGATGCTTTGGGTTCGATGGGTCCGATGACATCCATGCCCCACATAGAAAATGGCCATGGTGTAGCCATGTTGCTGAGAGGTGCGGGCGGCACATGAATATTATCGGCATATACTTGGCACTTGTGACATTTCTTGGCATATTGGTGACAATCGGCTTCCATCGTGGACCAATAGTACCCTGCCACGAGGATTTTCTTTGCCATGACATGCCGGGTGCGTGGGTTCCAAAAGTCCCCTTGTGGATTTCTTTTATCGGTGTTTGGGCTTCTTCTTGGTCCACACACCTTAAGAGAGTGGAATCGGGGCTCTTTTTGTAGAGGGTTCCTTCAATCAACGTGAACCCTATGGCCCTTTTGCGAATGGTTCGCTTATCAGTGTCACTGATTCCTTCAGGATATTCGCCCTTTATGAGGTACCGTTTGATGTCATGGTACCAGGGGTTTTGATCGCGTTCGTCATTTACTGCCATGCAGAAAGCTTGCTTATCATGCAGTTTGACTTGAATAATTGGTATCTCATGTTCCTGGTCCAGGGCAAACATGGATGATAGTGTGGCGAGGGCGTCAGCAATTTGGTTGTCTTCCCGAGGGATGTACTGAAAAGTGACGCTTTCCATTCTCGAGACTAGCTCGCGGATATACTCTAGGTATGGGATTAATTTGGCATTTCGGGTTTCCCATTCACCTTTAAGTTGATAGATGACAAGGGATGAATCACCGAATATTTTGAGCTTAGTGACCCCATGATCTAAAGCCGCTTGGATTCCTAGTGCACATGCTTCATATTCGGCCATGTTGTTGGTGCAATCGAAATTAAGCCTGGCCGTCACAGGAATGTGTTTCTTTTCGGGGGATATCAAAATAGCTCCTACCCCGTGTCCAAGCATGTTGGAAGCCCCATCGAAGAACATGGTCCACATCTCTTCTTTGGTCTCATCGTGTTCGATGTGCATGATATGCTCATCGGGAAAGTCGTCTTGTAAGGACTGGTATTCATCTGTAGATCCATGGGCTAGATAATCCGCTAGGGGACTTCCCTTAATAGCTTTCTGGGTGACATGAACGATGTCAAATTCTGAGAGGAGAACTTGCCACCTAGCTATTCTTCCAGTCAGAATGGGCTTCTCAAATAGGTACTTGATTGGATCCATTTTGGAGACCAACCATGTTGTATGTCGGGCCATATACTGTCTGAGACGTTAAGTGACCCACACCAATGCGCAACAAGTTTTTTCGAATGGCGTATAGCGGGTTTCGTAGTCTGAGAACTTCTTACTGAGATAATAGATGGCCCGTTCCCTTTTTCCGGTTTCATCATGCTGGCCGAGCACACATCCCATTGACTCTTCGAGAACTAATAAATATAGGATCAGAGGCCTCCCTTCAACGGGTGGTACCAATATTGGTGGATTGGTTAGACAGGTTTTGATTTTATCAAACGCCTGTTGGCATTCTTTGTTCCATACCGTTGGCTGATTCTTGCGCAACAGTTTAAAGATGGGGATGCATTTATCTGTTAACTGCGCGATGAAACGGGCAATGTAGTTGATTCGGCCTAGAAAGCCTCTGACCTCTTTTTCCGTTTTTGGTGGAGTCATTTCCAAAATTGCCTTTGTTTTGTCGGGGTCCACCTCGATTCCTCTTTCACTGACAATGAACCCTAAGAGTTTTCCTGATCGTACTCCGAAAGTACATTTTGCCGAGTTTAGCTTAAGTTGATACTTCCGAAGCCGATCGAAAAGTTTTCGGAGATATTGAATGTGGTCCATTTCATTTCTGGACTTGGCTATCATGTCGTCCACATATACTTCTATTTCCTTGTGGATCATGTCGTGGAATAGTGTGACCATAGCCCTTTGATAGGTTGCCCCCGCATTTTTCAGTCCAAATGGCATCACTCGGTAGCAAAAGGTACCCCACGGTGTAATGAATGAGGTTTTTTCTCTATCCTCAACGGCCAACTTGATCTGGTTGTACCCCGCGTACCCATCCATGAAGGAATACAACGTGTTAGTAGCGGTATGGTCTACCAACATGTCTATATGTGGTAGGGGAAAGTCGTCCTTTGGACTTGCTCGATTGAGGTCCCTATAATCCACGCAAACTCTGACCTTCCCGGTCTTTTTGATGATGGGTACGATGTTGGCCAACCATTCTGGGTATTTGGAAACTACCAGGAAATTGGCATCCAACTGCCTTTGCACCTCCTCCTTTATCATTAAGGACTAGTCGGGTTTAATTCTCCTGAGTTTTTGCTTTACAGGTCGGCATCCCTCTTTCAGTGGCAATCTGTGTTCCACTATACTTGTGTCAAGCCCAGGCATGTCATGATATGACCAGGCAAATACGTCTATATATTCCTTTAGAAGCTGTATCAATCCCTTTTTCATGCTACTTTCCATTTGGGTGCCGATGTTTACCTTTTTCTCCTCATCCTCTTTTCCCAAATTTACAGTTTCTATTTCTTCCTGATGCGGTTGTATAATGCGTGTTTCTTTTTCCAGCATTCTTTGCATATCCGGAGAGATGGTCTCCTGCTCACTGTCGGACTCAGTCCATTCGCCTTCCGTTTCCGAGGTCCACGGAGATTCATCAATCACAGGCATGATGTGTTTTAGGTTCTGTTTTAGTCATAGATTTTATTATTCATTTTATTTTTTGAAAGAATAATAAATAGAAGCGGGAAAAGAAAGAATATGACAAAATGCCTCGTATATTAATGAACATGAGATGTATGTACAAGCCCTTTTAATCAAAAATTCTTGTGGCCGCGGGCGGGGACCACAAGAGATGTAGAGAAAAGCTTAAAAAAAAAGAAGAAACCCTAGGGTTGATCCTCCCAGTCCTCCCTCTCTGCTACTCTGGCTTCGACAGAGGCTTGCCGTCCGTGCTAGAGGCAGAGGCGTCGAAAGTAATCCACCCGGCGTCGATTAGTTCTTGAACCCGATACTTAAGGGTCAAGCAGTTCTCTGTAGAGTGACCGGGTGAGCCCGAATGGTAAGCGCATTTTTCGTTTGGCTTATACCATTCAGGGTAGGGAGGCTCCAATTGCTTCTTGGGAGGGACGCAGGTCAGGAGCTTAGCCTCCAGCAGTTGAGGTAGCAGTAGTCCGTAGGAAGTGGAGATTGGAGTGAACTTCCTTTCTTTCTTGCGGGGCTGCCTGGGCGTTTGCGGGGCGGAAGAAGGAGTGGCAAAGTTGATTGCATGTACAGATTCATCCTTCTTCTTGCCAGCAGGCTTCCTGAAGGAGACACCAGCTTGGGAAGACTATGCTATCTTCCCGCTCCTCAGTCCTTGCTCCACCCTCTCGCCCACAGTGACTATGTCTGAGAAAAGGTTGGAGGTACTGGCTATTGCCTTGTCGTAGTACGCTCCAGTCAGTGAGTCGATGAACATAGCCACTGTCTCCTTGTCCGTCAAAGGAGGCTCTATTTGGGCGGCCATTTCCCTCCACCTTTGGGCATACGCTTTGAATGCCTCGTCGTTCCTCTTGTTTAGAGTTCTAAGATCTGACCTGTCGGGTGTCAGATCGATGTTGTATCGGTAACGACGAAGGAAAGCGTCTGCCAACTGTTTCCAGTTTTGGACCTGCCCTCTCTCCAACAGCATGTACCAGTTGAGAGCCGTGTCCGCGAAACTCTCCTGGAAGCAGTGAATCAGGAGTTTCTCGTTGTCAGCATGGGCGGCCATCTTACGACAATACATCGTAAGATGGTTCTTTGGGCAGGTCATCCCGGCGTACTTAGGGAAGTCCAAGATTTTGAATTTGGGAGGGAAGCGGATGTCCTTCACGAGGCACATGTCAGCTACCTCCTTGACGTCGAAGTTATGCCCTTCGACCGCCTTCAGCCTCTCCTCCAGGGCGGAGAGTTGTTGTTTGGATACTTATGGGGTAGGGATGCGTGTAGTCTTAGCATCCTTCCCGCCGAAGAAGTATTCCTCCTCCTCTTCCTCATGAGGAGGGACATTTTCAGCTTGGCCCTCGCCATCCTTGTTTTGGCCTTGGCGTATGACCTCCATCAGTTGGGCTACCTGCTCCCGGAGGGTATCGACTTCCGTAGAAAGTTTTCGGTTCTGCTCCTCTAATTTTTCCATCGCCTTTACTTTTTGTGCACGAGTACGAGTGGGGAGAGGACCAGCCACTTTCTAGAATGTCCGAAAAAGTTTTATTAATGCATGTTGAGTGCTTAAACTAACATGAGTATGCTTATGCATGAGAGGTTCTATTTACATGATGTTGAATGTGCTCTCATTTTTATTTTTCTCTCTTGGTTTTTCTTTACTCGTGATATGGTGTAGTATGGATGAGCTGACTTTGTCAGAAGTTGTTCATTCATTTTTTTTTTGTATTTTTTGTTTTTTTATTTGACGCTTTATTTTATAGCCTTTTATCTTACTAGTGCAGAAAAGGGCTTTTACGTCACCCAATTGTCGTCGCATGTAAAAATATTCGACGTAAATAAAACGCGGTGGCAATTTTGTAAATAAGGGACAAAACTTTTACGTAAAAGAGGTTTTTTACGTCGCGTGCTGGGATGCGCGACGTAAAAAGTCTCTTTTATTCCCACCCTGCCACACTCCCTCGTCTCGCACAACCAGGGTTTTTGAGAACGACGACGAGAACGACGATAACAGCTACCTCTGCACACCATTTTCGAGCAGTTTTACAGTGAAAAACATCTATATTGTCGTGTTATTTGACGAACTTGATATTTCTCCCCGATTGGATTCGAGTTTGAAATCATTTTTCATCTACACTCGAGGTTAGTGTTCTATGTCATTACTATATGTTTACATTGAAATATGCGAAGTTATCACAGACGTCATATGGTATAAACCAAGAAGGAATCATTGGATTACTTTAAACGAGCCATGGTCTTACAGTAGAGGTGGTTATGCAATTGGGATCTATGCACCAGGTCGATGTTCGAATGGCTAAACCTAAACTGCACTGGTGGTGATTCAGGAACAGAACCCTATTTAGCTTCACATTATCAACTACTTGCTCATGCAAGCATCTGTTCAAGTCTACAAGAAAAAATATCAGGTTTTTCTTTAGCCTTGTTAGTTGCTGCCAGGGTTCAAGTATTTTACTTTGACATAACTCTTTCACTTAACATTCCAAACTCTTTACTCAGAAATCTCAAAAAGGAATCATAGGCATAACATTAGTGTGTTTCGGTATACGCCATATTCAAATCACAAAGTGGATAAAGATGCTGCCAATCGAGCACTTGACTTCATGTATGGATGGTAAGTTCTTCACTGGATTCAAATATTAAGTATGACTCGTAACTCAAAAAATCATCATGGTTATCTTACTGAGAATGATTACAGGTTCATGGAACCATTGACATCAGGAAAATATCCAGAGAGCATGATTTCCCTGGTTGGTGAACGACTGCCAAAGTTCTCTGAAGAAGAAGCAAGACTTGTGACTGGTTCATATGATTTTATTGGACTAAACTATTACACCACTGCCTATGCTGCCAATGCACCCAAAACCAGACCTAATTATGATTCTGATTCCAATGTCAAAACTTCATGTAAGATACCTTCTTCCATCGTATATATGTTCATCTTAATTTTTTAAATAAATTATATATTTATTACTCACTTTATTTAATATAAATTAATCTTAAGCTAAAATTTAACGTAATACCATGATTTTTTTAATTAGTATCATATTATTTTATAACAATTTCATTTTTTTTGGGATAGATTCACGCAATGGAATTCCAATAGGTCAATCGGTATGTATACCATCACATCAATTTTTTACTTAATAATAATAATAATAATAATAATATTATTATTATTATTATTATTATTATTATTATTTATTTTTATATAACTTGATAATTATACTTGCAGACAGCTTCTGGTTGGTTATATGTTTATCCCAAAGGAATTAGAGAATTGTTGATCCAACACTATCTCTTCAAGAAGCTCTTCTCGATACATACAGAATTGACTACTATTATCGTCATCTCTATTATTTAAACTTGGCAATTAGGTAATGAATGGTTTATATTTATTTGTTATTATTATATTTAAAGAGTATTTTGTTTGAAAAAATAATTTGAATTAATTTTGTTGACTTTATTTAGAAGGGATGGCGTAAAGGTGAAGGGATATTTTGCATGGTCATTATGTGATAACTTCGAATGGGCTGATGGTTATGTTGGTATAAAAAGTGAAGGTGAAGGGATGACTTACGTCGCATATGGTATATGCGACGTAAATTTACGTCGCGTATTGGTATATGTGACGTAAATTTATGTCGTATATACCATGTGTGACGTAAATTTTTTGTTTTTTTTATTTTCGAAAGTTTTTACGTCTGTTTAGTGGTATATGTCACGTAAAATTACGTCGGGTTTTAATAATTGACGTAAATCTACGTTGGGCTAAAGGGTCCGACGTAAATTTACGTCTCCCGCTTTAACGTCGGACTTAAATACGACGTAAAAAGTCATAAATACCTGACGTAAAAGCCCCTTTTTGCACTAGTGTCTCTTCTGTCGGAACTGCGTGGCTACTTAGCTTACAAAGAACCTGAAACCAGGCTAGCTAAAAGGCAGACTGTCCGAGATAAAATGTGGCTTTATGCGAAAGAATATTTATCGTCCCTTATCTCTTCTGTCAGAACTGCGTGGCTACTTAGCTTACAAAGAACCTGAAACCAGGCTAGCTAAAAGGCAGACTGTCCGAGATAAGGGTGTTTATTTGTAAAATATTTTTTTGGTGATTTTGTTTTGTTGTTTGTTTATGCTATGCAACATACAAATGCAACAATCATATGCACACACAATTCGATCATCCCCGAACAGGCGAGACTTCGTTTTTTATCACGAGGTAGGGTTTTCCTGCAGAAAGGTGCATTGGTCAGGGTAGGTTCTAACTGTTCTCACCAGGCTAAGGCCCCCAAGGTGCCCCCATTATAGGGTCCCCACTCTCCGGCCGTCCAACCATGCTCGAGCACTAAGGCCGAGTCGGTCTTGTTACCAAAAGAGGAAGATTATCACCTTGAGTGGTGGTTTCCGATCACACTGGTGGGCACAAGGCCCTAACTGCAGCGAACCGTACCTGCCACCCACTCCATATGGTTTTCTCACTTGCCCCCGGGTATAGAGGGAACTGTAGTGTGCAAGGGTTTTGTGTGCAATTTATATTTCAATCAATTGCGTAAGTAGAAACAAGCAACAGTTATTTGAAAGCCAAACAATAAAGCATGTTATAATACAAGGTAGGGTAAAAGCGCTTTTTTCTTGGTTTAATTATTTTTAAGCCAGCCCATCACTAAATGGGATCAACTCTCTAGGCTTCCCCAGCGGAGTCGCCATCTGTCACCGCCGTCAAAAAAAGAGAGGCGGTCGGAGCAACGCGATGTTTTTTTTGACCCTCTTTATTTTCACGTTTTTCTATTGGTGGTTACAACGCCTTTAGGTTGTCCGATAACCGGGCTAACCTAGGGGCGAGGTTTTCGAAAGTATCCCTGGGTTGTCTGATAACCGGGCTAACCCATGGATTTATTTAATTTGGGTTCTATGGAGTCGCCACCGATATTTTTACCATAAACATCGGAAAAGGGGTTTTAAAAAGGCGTTGGTTTTCGAAAACCAACTTTGGTCATTCGAACCAAAGTTGGGTAAGGGAGTTAGTTACGTGTAAAGGAAGTGTTAGTTCCTTTACGATGCCCCTTTCGGGTTCCCTATGATAGGCCGGCTACTTTGAATAAATAATTAAACTGGAAAAATGCGCTTTTACCCTTTTATTATGCGGAATTTAAGTTTATGACTACATGGCCCTAGCTTCTATTGCGTAATTTAAATGGCAGTAATAAAAATAGAGAGGGAGAATATGCACCTCCAAAGCAAGCTTTTATATTTCTTTAAAGAGAGGGTGCGTTTTGGCAACCCTTCACTCTACAACTCTCAGAAACTCCGGAAATGCCTCGGAGGGATTCTAAAGAAGATTTAGAACGCTCAGTTTATGCCTAGAGACACTCAGAAACTCCGGAAATGCCTCAGAGGGATTCTTAGAGAGAGAAAGTCTAGAGAGAAGGGAGAGCTATGTTGATTCTGTGTGGAAATGAGGGGGGGAGGACCCCTATTTATAGTTTTTCGCGCCTGACAGGTCGAGATCGCCGTCTCCTCTGACAGGGTCGAGACCGCCGTCTGGAAAATCCAGACCGCCGTCTCGTTCATGGCAGAGGGTCAAGACCGTCGTCTGGATAATCCAGACCGCCGTCTCGACTAGCCAGGAATCGAGACCGCCGTCTGGAAAATCCAGACCGCCGTCTCGACCTTTGCAGGTGACGAGACCGCCGTCTGGACAATCGAGACAGCGGTCTCGTCCTGGCGTTGAGACGAGACGGCGGTTTGGTCCTTCCAGACGGCGGTCTCGTCCCTTCAGGGCGAGAAACTTTATTTTCGGGCCAAAAAACCTTCCTATCCTTGTACGGGAGCCTAATAGTCTCTCCTAATGACTTGTTAATCTTCGGTCGTCTTCAAATAGGACGCTTTCTGACTTTATTTGGAGGCCGGGCAAGATTTGGGGTCTATAGTTAAGAAAGATATCACCGGTGTTTTATACTGGTTCACCCAATACCAGGGCTACGTCCAGTCTCCAGCCAAATTCCAGCTGGATTCCACTAGATCAAATGTTTTACAGATTTACAATCTTACACTTAATCTACCACAAGAACCAAATTCCAGTTCCTGCACTCAACCTCTCACCAAGAACCAAATTCCAGTTCTTGATAACCTCTACAACCAAATTCCAGCTGCAGAGAAACCGTGCCTAAATTCCAGGCACCAAACAATACAAAAAGAATGAAAAAAAAATGAAAAAGAAGAAACTAGAATGCTCAAACCAGTTTATGCAATTCTGCTGTAAGTGTTTCTTCTTTAAAACAAATCAAGTTGCCTCAAGAAAGATTTTCAAAGAACTTCTCAAAACAAATCAAGTTTCCAAATTTTGACTCACGTTTTTTAATGTGGTGTTACAACGCCTTTAGGTTGTCCAATAACCGGGCTGGACCTAAGGGCGAAGTTTTCGAAAAGGGTTCTTATGGAGTCGCACCGATGTTTTTACCGGAAACATCGGAAAAGGAAAAAAAGAAGGCATTGGTTTTTAGAAAAACCAACTTTGGCCATTATAACCAGAGTCGGGTAAGGCAGTTATTTACGCGTGGGGAAGGTATTAGCACCCCCACGACGCCCCTTTCGGGTTCCCTATGATGGGCCGTTTATTTCATAAGTAAACCTTAAAATGACGCTTTTACCCTTTTATTTGCGGAATTAAAAAATAATGTCTACATGGCCCTAGCAGCTAATGCACATATAAATGTAAGAAAATAGCAGTAAAAGAAGGATAGCAAGTATGAAAACCTTTGAAGTAAGCTTTCGGGATTAATATTCTTGAAATAGGAAACTTTTTGGAAGTCCTTCACTCTACAACGTTGATCGCTCTTCCTCGCAACGCTAGAATAATCTCTAAGAATACTAAGAAGCTCTGGAATTGATTCGGAGGGATTTAGGAGAAGAATTTGAAGAAATTGAAGAAGGAAAGGTTTGAGAACTGTGTGAAAAAAAGGGGAACGAGCCCTCCTTTTATAGGGATTCGTGCCTGTCAGGTCGAGACGACCGTCTCACCAATCGAGAAGGTAATCTCGATTTGATAAATGGCGAGAAGGTCATCTCGCCAAATGGGAAGACGGTCTCGCCATTGGCAAGTGGCAAGACGACCGTCTCGCCAAACAAGACGACGATCTCGCCCTTTGCTGATGGCGAGACAGTGGTCGCTAAGTGAGACGGCGGTCTCACTAAGCGAGATGGTGATCTCGACCTTCTAGGTGGTCCTCTCTATTTTTTTGTACAAAAAACCTTCCTATTCTAATTTGGGGCCTTTTGGTCTATCCTAGGGACCTTCTAGGCCTTGCCCATCTTCGAATTGGAGGTCTTCTACTCTTTATTTTGAGGCCAGGTAAGATTTGGGGTCTATAGTCGTGAAGCGATGGTTTGTGACTCGCATTTTCATAAAACAATCTGGTCATCACTTTTAGGATGTTTGATAACTGAATTACCCTTAAAAGTGAGGTTTCCGCAAAATGAGTTATATGGAGTCGCCACCAATGTTTTAACCATAAACATTGGAAAAGGATAAAAAAGAAGGAGTTGGTTTAAGAAAACCAACTTTGACCATTATAACCAGAGTTGGGTAAGGGAGTTAGTTACGCGTGGGGAAGGTGTTAGCGCCCCACGGCGCCTAGTTTGGGTTCCCTATGATGGATTAATTCATAAAATAAAGATCTAGAAATTATGCATTTACCCTATTTATTGATTCGCAGTATTTATTAAATATCTACATGACCCTAATTTCGAATGCACACAAAGGAAAGCGATAAAAGAGTAAGGGATTGAGAAAAACCTCCAAAGCGAGCTTTTATAAATCTTTAAACTTGAGAACGCTTTTTGGCAGTCTCCTCCCACTACACGAGCACTCCTCCTTCGAACAATAAAATTATTAAACTGCTGAGAGTCGGATGTCTCAAAAGGAGACTTCCTTAACCGATTTTGCCCAAATGGACTATCGAAAAGACTACTCGGTGCCTAAAGGTTTCTAGAAACGTCTCTAGGTATGAGAAGGTGTGTGGAAGTGTTCATAAGTGTGTGAAAATGTGAGAAATGACGTCCTATTTATAAGCATGCTCACCCAAGAGGTCGCGACGACCGTCCTGAATTTTTTAGGTAGGACGATCGTATGGGATTTTGGGACGGTCGTCCCAAAATTCCTAAGAGGGTGGGATGACCGTTTGGAATTTGGGACGATCGTCCCAAACCACCAAGGAAGGTGGGACGATCGTCTGGAATTTGGGACGGTCGTCCTGACTTCTCTAACAAAATTTTATTTTTTTATTCTCTAAGAAAACCCTCCTTTTCTTAAATGAAGCCTAGTGGACACTACTAGGGACCCTATGAAGCCTTGTCCATCTTCAAAACAAAGGATTTATAAGCTTTTTTGTATGGTCGGGAAAGGTTTGGGGTCTACAAGGATGAAGGTTGATAATTGGTAATGACATCCTCATCAAGATAGATTGAAGATTGGTATGGTCATTATGGCGAGTTCTCAAATGGCTTGGAGAGTGCGTTGAATGAGGATCAACTTGGAGATGGACAACATTGTTTCAAGGGCAGGTTCCACCCATTC